TTTTCTTGGAGCGTCTTGTATGATTTGAGTCTTTACTTTTTAGTTTACCACAATCATCCTTGCTGGACACACCTTTTGAGAGAGCCATACATGATTTGGAATTTGCTAGAATACTCTATGTGCTTCGCTTATATCTTTTGAGTTATATAGTTTTGCTCTAGTACTTCACTTATATCTTTTAGAGCACGGTGGTGGATTTGTTTTATAGAAACTATTGATCTCTCATGCTTCACTTAGATTATTTTGAGAGTCTTAAATAGCATGGTAATTTGCTTAAAATCCTAATATGCTAGGTATTCAAGATTAGTAAAATTTTCTTATGAGTGTTTTGAATACTAAGAGAAGTTTGATGCTTGATGATCGTTTTGAGATATGGGGGTAATAATATCAAAGTCGTGCTAGTTGAGTAGTTGTGAAATTGAAAAATGCTTGTGTTGAAGTTTGCAAGTCCAGTAGCATGCACTTATGGTAAATGTTATGTAACAAATTTGAAACATGAGGGGTTATTTGATTGTCCTCCTTATGAGTGGCGGTCGGGGACGAGCGATGGTCTTTTCCTACCAATCTATCCCCCTAGGAGCATGCGCGTAGTGGCGAGGTTTTTGACGACTTGTAGATTTTTGCAATAAGTATGTGAGTTCTTTATGACTAATGTTGAGTCCATGGATTATACGCACTCTCAACCTTCCATCCTTGCTAGCCTCTTCGGTACCATGCATTGCCCTTTCTCACATTGGGAGTTGGCACAAACTTCGCCGATGCATCCAAACCCCGTGATATGATACGCTCTTTCACACATAAACCTCCTTATATCTTCCTCAAAACAGCCACCATACCTACCTATTATGGCATTTCCATAGCCATTCCGAGATATATTGCCATGCAACTTTCCACCATTCCGTTTATCATGACACATTCATTATTGTCATATTGCTTAGCATGATCATGTAGTTGACATAGTATTTGTGGCAAAGCCGCCGTTCATAATTCTTTTATACATGTCACTCTTGGTCCATTGCATATCCCAGTACACCGCCGGAGGCATTCATATAGAGTCATCTTTTGTTCTAGTATAGAGTTGTAATCATTGAGTTGTAAATAAATAGAAGTGTGATGATCATCATTTTCTAGAGCATTGTCCCAAGTGAGGAATTATATAAAAAGAAGAGAAAGGCCATAAAAAAGAGAAGGCCCAAAAAAGAAAGAAAGAGAAAGGCCATAAAAAAGAGAAGGCCCAAAAAAAGAATGAGAGAAAAAGAGTGAAGGGACAATGTTACTAGCCTTTGCCACACTTGTGATTCAAAGTAGCACCATAATATTCATGATAGAGAGTCTCTTGTTTCGTCACTTTCATATACTAGTGGGAATTTTCATTATAGAACTTGGCTTGTATATTGCAACAATGGGCCTCCTCAAGTGCCCTAGGTCTTCATGAGAAAGCAAGTTGGATGCACACCCACTTAGTTTCTTTTGTTGAGCTTTCATATATTTATAACTCTAGTGCATCCGTTGCATGGCAATCCCTAATCCTTGCATTAACATCAATCAGTGGGCATCTCCATAGCCCATTGATTAGCCTCGTTGATGTGAGACTTTCTCCTTTTTTGTCTTCTCCACATAACCCCCCTCATTATATTCTATTCCACCCATAGTGCTACGTCCATGGCTCGCGCTCATATATTGCGTGAAAGTTTATAGGTTTGAGATTACTAAAGTATGAAACAATTGCTTGGCTTGTCATCGGGGTTGTGCATGATGAGAGCATTCTTGTGTGACGAAAATGGAGCATGACTAAACTATATGATTTTGTAGGGATGAACTTTCTTTGGCCATGTTATTTTGAGAAGACATAATTGCTTAGTTAGTATGCTTGAAGTATTATTATTTTTATGTCAATATGAACTTTTGTCTTGAATCTTTCGGATCTGAATATTCATACCACAATTAAGAAGAATTACATTAAAATTATGCCAAGTAGCACTCCGTATAAAAAATTATGTTTTTATCATTTACCTACTCGAGGACGAGCAGGAATTAAGCTTGGGGATGCTTGATACGTCTCCAATGTATCTATAATTTTTTATTGCTCCATGCTATATTATCTACTGTTTTGGACATTATCGGGCTTTATTATCCACTTTTATATTATTTTTGGGACTAAGCTATTAACCGAAGGCCCAGCCCAGAATTGTTGTTTTTTGCCTGTTTTAGGGTTTCAAAGAAAAGGAATATCAAACGAAGTCCAAACGGAATGAAACCTTCGGGAACGTGATTTCTCAACAAACAAGACCCAGGAGACTTGGACCCTACGTCAAGACACAAAAGATGAGGCCACGAGGTAGCGCCTACCCCCCCCCCCCTAGGCGCGCCCTCCACCCTCGTGGGCCCCCTGTTGCTCCACCGACGTACTCCTTCCTCCTATATATACCTACGTACCCCCAAACGATCAGATACGGAGCCAAAACCCTAATTCCACCGCCTTAACTTTCTGTATCCACGAGATCCCATCTTAGGGCCTGTTCCGGAGCTCCGTCGGAGGGGGCATCGATTACGAAGGGCTTCTACATCAACACCATAGCCCCTCCGATGAAGTGTGAGTAGTTCACCTCAGACCTACGGGTCCATAGTTACTAGCTAGATGGCTTCTTCTCTCTTTTTGGATCTCAACACAATGTTCTCCCCCTCTCTTGTGGAGAACTATTCAATGTAATCTTCTTTTTGCGGTGTGTTTGTTGAGACCGATGAATTGTGGGTTTATGATCAAGTCTATCTATGAACAATATTTGAATCTTCTCTGAATTCTTTTATGTATGATTGGTTATCTTTGCAAGTCTTTTTGAATTATCAGTTTGGTTTGGCCTACTAGATTGATCTTTCATGGAATGGGAGAAGTGCTTAGCTTTGGGTTCAATCTTGCGGTGTCCTTTCCCAGTGACAGTAGGGGCAGCAAGGCACGTATTGTATTGTTGCCATCGAGGATAACAAGATGGGATTTTCATCATATTGCATGAGTTTATCCCCCTACATCATGTCATCTTGCTTAAGGCGTTACTCTATTTTCATTAACTTAATACTCTAGATGCATGCTGGATAGCGGTCGATGAGTTGAGTAATAGTAGTAGATGCAGGCAAGAGTCGGTCTAGTTGTCTCGGACGTGATGCCTATATACATGATCATACCTAGATATTCTCATAACAATGCTCAATTCTGTCAATTGCTCAACAGTAATTTGTTCACCCACCGTAGAATACTTATGCTCTCGAGAGAAGCCACTAGTGAAACATATGGCCCCCGGGTCTATTTTCATCATATTAATCTCCCAATACTTAGTTATTTCCTTTGCTTTCACTTTGCTTTTATTTTACTTTGCATCTTTATCATAAAAATACCAAAAATATTATCTTATTGTATCTATCAGATCTCACTCTCTTAAGTGGCCGTGTAGGAATTGACGACCCCTTATCGCGTTGGTTGCGATGATTTATTTGTTCTGTGCAGGTACGAGGGACTGGCGCATAGCCTCCTACTGGATTAATACCTTGGTTCTTAAAAACTGAGGCAAATACTTACGCTACTTTGCTGCATCATCCCTTGCTCTTCGGGGAAAACCAACGCAGTGCTCAAGAGATAGCATGCGTAGAATTTTTTTTGTTTTCCAGGCAACATTTCCCAACATGTTTGTCATGAACTTAATACCATAGATACATGCTGGATAGCGGTCGATTGATAGAGTAATTGTATTAGATGCAAGCAGTAGTCGGTCTACTTGTCAAGACGTAATGCCTATATACATAATCATGCCATGAATAACATCATAATAATGCGATTTTCTATCAATTGCCCAACAGTAATTTGTTTACCCACTATATGCCATGTTTAAGAGAGAGATGCCTCTAATGAAAACTATGGCCCCGGGTCTACTTTTAATCGTATTACAAAAACCAAAAACACTTTGCTGCAATTTATTTACTTTTATTTTACTTTACAATTTATCTATCTAAAACTATCAGTTTTAATCATTGCAATTAACGAGTACAAGGGGATTGACGGCCCTCTTACCCGTGTTGGGTGCAGGTATTTGCTCTTTTGTGTGTAGGTGCCGTCAATGGTTGTTTGCGTGAATCTCCTACTGGTTCGATAATCTTGGTTCTCTACTAAGGGAAATACTATTCGCTACTATATTGCATCTCCCTTCCTCTTCAGGGAAAAACCCAACGCAGCTCACAAGTAGCAGCTCATCGCCCGTAGCCACCGATGGCCTTTAGGGTGTCTTGCTTCCTGGGCGGCAGCCCGAGTGGTGGGATCTGTGGTACTCGTGGTCTGAGCGTGTGGCTCAGGTGCAGGAGGCTAGCTGCCATGGACGAGTGGGCGGTGAGCAGCTATGGTTCATGTGCCTAGCCACGCCCTATATGCAAAGGCGGAGTATGCTTGCTGGGTGAAAAGCGTGCCTGGCTTTGGTCACGCCGGCGAAGGCGGCCCCGTGGACGACGCCACCTTTTTAGGTCTCGGTTGTGGTTGGTTCTTGTCCTTCCAAATGTTTCGGGTGAAAATCTTGATCTGGATCAAGCGGTGGCGGCGCTCTGGTGTCTTGTCCTTTTTAAAGACACCGTCTTGGTGTTCATCGACTTTGAAAATCACCTCTTCGCGATGTCTTTCACTGTGAAGGGCTCCTACGGCTCCGTAGTGATGCTTAGTGTCATTCTGTTGTCTCCTTCGAGTCATTTGGGCTGCTATTGTTGTTAGTGTTTGGTGCCTATGTATCTTGTCTTGGGTGAGTGTGTATTGTTGTGATTTTCTGTAGCGTGCGTCAGTTTATATGTTGTTGGTTCTTTATCTATAAAACGCAATGAATGCCGTTTTAAACTAGAGGAAAATAGAAGATCACATCTAGTTCACATGACTAGAAAGCCACATTGAGCGGAATTTGCAGCCACATACGTACCGGACCACAGAAGGTACTACCAATACACACTCATACAAGTTCGCAAACAATAACAAGCTACAACTCGTTAACAATGCTGCCAACTGGGTGATGTGAAGAATCAGGGGTGGTGGGCGGAGCTGCAGGATCCGCAGGTTTTCGACGCCACATCAGCACGTGCAATGTGACATAGACAACCACGGCCGCAACGAGCGCGGTCAGGTACGCGAACACCTGCTCCCACACCCAGCAGGTGCCCGCCGCGTAAGCGCCCAGCAGGCCAGCGAGATCCAGCACCATGGCAGCCTGCATCGCCCTGAGCAGCGCGCCACGCCGGCTCACCGTGCGCTGCAGTAGCAGGACGATGAGTGTGACGGACGCCGCGAACGACGTTGCATTGCAGTAGAAGAAGGCCGCGTACCGGGAGTATTGGAGATTAGTCTTCCCGATTGGCGAGACATGGGCTTGGCGACCAGAGGGGCGACCCGTGGGGCGACCCGAGGGGCGACTACGGCTGCGCCGTCATCGGCGGCCGGAGTTCAAAGGCGAGTGGGCGGACGGTTCTGGGCTTTAGCGGGAGCCGATGAAGAAGATGAAGACGGAGATGGGGATGCCGCGGCGGCCTCCCCGGGATCGCAGACCCCGTCTGATCTTATCTGCGAATTCTTCCAGTCCGGCTACGACGAGGATGAGGTGGCAACGACTGTGGACAAGATCCTGCCTCCCGACGATCCGGCGCGAATTGGGCTAGATGCGAGTGAGAAGAAGGAGATGATCCGGCGCGTGGTTCATCGGAGAACGGCGGCGACGGCGATCCGACCATGGAAGGGCCCCTTGCCTAAGGTTAGTCTCCCGAACTTAACAATTTTCGATCTGATCCGTCCGGATTCTTGGACTACGATTACTAGAAGGAAGAAGGGGCGTCGGCCAGTGTCTCGATCGGCGCCGGAGGGGAACGCAGCAGCCATGCCGGCGATCCAGATCGCAACGGCGCGTCAGGAGCGTTTGAAACACTTGTTGGGCTTCTGTGGGCCGGTTTTGCCTGAAGCATTAACATTGTCTGTTGGGCCCGAGACTGCTGGGTATGAGGCCCAGGCAAGTCCGGTTTCCACGAGCGTTTTTCTCGATCGTGCATGCGATTCCATTGATCGTGCTGCTCCGGTTTCGTCCCAGCCGCGCGCTAGGGTTCGCAGGCAAGGGACGGCTGGGTTCCGATCTTCTGGTCTTGGCCGTGCAAAGCGCATCCGCCCTCTCACCTCTGGAGCCGGTCGGGCAAGGAGCATCCGGCCGCTCAGTGAGATGGCTGGTCGTGGGGCAGCGCCGCCGCCTGCCATGAAAACCAATGCAGCAGGTAGGGCTGGGACGGCCCCGCCGCAGGTGGCGGGTGCTGGGTGAGGAGCCCCGGCGCCGCCCGGTCAGAGGCCACCAGCGGGTAGTGGAGTTGCGTCGGCTAATCCGGGCCGAGGCGCTGGCCACCCGGGCGTCCGGCCATCGGGGCAACTGCCCCCTGCTGCAGGGCGGGGCGGGCTGAGGCCGCCTGCGCCGGGTGGGGCTCCCGCTGCTCAGTCAGCAACGGGTCGTGCTGGCCTTCGGCCGCCGGTGTCGGCCGTGGCTGCAGCGGCTCAGGTGGCCCGCGGCGATACTACCCATGGGGTGAAGCAGACACCTTCGGGCGGTCCGGCTCGTACTACTCCTCCGCCCCACTACGTCGCAAGGCCGGCTCAGAATCGCGCGGGTGCGACGCAGACGGGACATAATTCCAGCAGCGGAGAGCCCAATGATCCGCCCCGAGGCCAGTGGGGGGACGACGGGTATGATGCATATGGTGACGGACAGCACCGAGGTTCCTCCTCTACGGGTGGAGGTCGTGGATTTGCCTGGCAGAGTGACGGGTCAGCGGAGAGACCGTTTCTCGGCCCTTCAGGCGGTTTTGTCGAGGGGGCCTCAGGCCCGGACCACCGCCAGAGAGGAGGCTACCGTGGCCATCGTGGTGGCCGGGGAGGGGGCCGTGGGAGATATTGCCGACCGCCTCCGCCTAGGGCAGTTGATCCTGCGGCGTCTGCAGTGGAGCCCGACCATGCTTCTACTGAGCTTCCTCCCCAGGCGATGGAGGTGGTGAATGCCTTGGGCAGTGTCGAGGTTCCTGAGGCTGGGAAGGTGGCTGAGGATACCGACAGGCCCGATACTGAGAGGGTGTCCAAGTATGCGCGCAAGAAGGAGAAGATGCTTTGCTACCGTTCTGGGGAGAAGGGCCACTTCATTGCTGAGTGCGTGGCCGAGCTGTGTGACACGTGTGGCAAGCCGGCTCATGCCTCGGGGGAGTGCCCGTTTTTGCGTGACCAGGCTCCGTCGCTGACTGTGTATGGAGTTTACTGTGCCGAGCTCATGTTTTTTGAATCACCGGCTGCGCGAGAGATTCCGGAGGAGACCCCGAGCCTGACTACCGGGGTTGTCAAAGCTACCCAGGGAGAGGTCACTGAGGCTCAGATCGTGCGGAGGCTTCAGGAGCTAGTTCCGGGGGACTTCCGGTGGGAGCTGGTGGTTCTCGAGGATAAGATCTATAAGGTCGACTTCCCCACGGTGGATGACCTGCAGTGGTTGTTGAGCTTTGGTTTCTGTCGAGTCCCTGGCACTTCGAGCATTCTGGAGTTCCACGAGTGGCGGAAGGTGGAGCCTAAGGGAAAGCCGCTTACGCAGGTCTGGTTGCGGTTTGTAGGGGCCCCGTCTAAGCCTTTGCAGGATGTTCGAGTGGTGGCCAGTTTGGGCACGTTGGTTGGGAAGACGGAGAGAGTTGATATGGCTTTTACTCGGGCTCATGGGGTGGCCCGGCTTTTAGTCAGTGTTCTGGATATTGAGTTCGTGCCTGATGTGGACAACTGGACCTATAGGGGTGAGGTGTTCCCGCTCGATGTTGAGTTTGAGGACACTGATCTGTTTGCAGATACGATTAATGGGAATGATGTTGATATGAATGAGGGTGATGGCGATGCGGACGCCAATGGGGCGCAGCCTGATGAGTCCACATGAGAGGGGTCTAACGCCTCTCGCCCAGATTCTCAGTTGCCCGGGGATGGGACCGGGGTTGAGCCGGCAGCATCGCCATCGGTGCCTATGACCTCGTTGCGGTTCGGGTCTTTTGAGCCAGCATCAGCGCCGCCTAGGCTTTGGAGTGACCGGGTTGACTCTGATGATTTGTTTGAGCGCACGCTTCCTCTGTTGGAGATTGAGGGGGCTGGCGGTTCCGGTCGCTTGGTGAGGGCCTCCTCGGTTAGGACTCTGGATGGAGATGGGGTGGGGGAGCCGGAGGTCGCTTCTCTCTCCCTTCCTTCTCCTGTGGTCGAGGCTCCGGTGCGGATGGCTACCTGTGAGCTGGTGTTGGGGGGAGGGGGTCGGGGCAGGAGGCCTTGATGTCTCCACTCCATATCCCGACGCCGGTGACGCCGGTCACGTTGGGGTCGGCCAGCGCTGGGGGAGGGAGCCCGAGGCAGGTGGCCTCGGCTTCTGCTACTCCGGTGGTGGCGGCGACTCCTGCACCATCTTCTACGTTGGGGGAGGGGCTAAGGCAGGAGGCCCTGGCTCATCCTTCTTCCCCGGCGGTCTGGAGGACCGCCTCTCCTTCGCCGATAGCTCTTCCGTCTGCACCGGCGGATGGGGCGGGAGGAGAGCGTGGGCAGGCGGCCCCCGTCATCCCCTCCCCGTTCGCACTGGTGGCAGAGGACCCCGGCATGGGACACCCATCTGTGGGGCTTGGGAGCCCGCAGCCGCCTCCTCTGGTAACCTCGGTTGACCCTTTGAGGGATTCAGTGCCAGGTTTTACTAGGGAGGAGGTTGTTGCTTTTGGCGGGATCCCGGACCCTGTCTCGACGGGGAGACGGACGAGCGCTCGCATCCACGAGCTCCCGGAGGTGGATGATATGCAGCAACGGTGCGCTATGAGGGCGGCCAAGCTTCACGAGGCTGCATCATCCTCTGGTATGTCCGTCAACGTTTCTAACTCTTTATTGCATTTTTCTAATGAGGAGATTATAAATAATGCAAACCAGTTAGGAGTTTCACTAGGTGCCACGGATAGTGAGATCAATAATTTGGCCAATGATCTGTTAGATTTAGAGGCGGAACGTGTCTTAGACACTATTCGTAATCTTGCAGCAGTTAAACCGATGAATGATGATGAGATTGATGCGTTAGGGTTTAGAGTGCTAGATAATCTGTGTGCGGATCTAGCACCTCCCAATCAGATGATTGAGGATGATGATGTACCCATCGAGATTGACGCTGATAATTTAAGTCCACCCGGTTATGAGGACCGAGAGGCAGAGCCTAGTAAACCAAAACGTAAGTGGAACCGGAAGATCTATCCTGATTCCGCGGTTCGTAGGAGTGCTAGGATTCGTATTACTAAAAAATTCCATGATGAAATATGAGAGAAATTTTTTGGAATAGCAGAGGTCTGAAGGACTTGGCTAAAAGAAGGTTCCTTGCTGAGGTAGCTTTAGAGCAGCAGTTAGATTTTGTCGCTCTATCGGAGACTGGTAGAGAAAACTTTGCGCCCCAGTTTCTTTCTTCCCTTGTGGGTGGTATTGATTTTGATTGGCATTGCCTCCCTCCGCGAGGTAGATCGGGTGGTATCTTACTCGGTGTGAGATGCGATTCGCTTGAAGTCCGAAGTGTAGTGATGGGTGACTTCGCGGTAAAGTTTCGAGTCAGGTCCAAGATAGATGGTTTTAACTGGGCTTTGGTGGCGGTTTATGGTGCCGCACAGCCCGAGCTTAAACCGGAGTTTCTGGCGGACCTTGTTCGAATTTGTGGGTCAGAACAGCTTCCAATTTTGGTTGGAGGTGATTTCAATATCATCAGAAGGAAAGACGAGAAGAACAATGATAACTTTGACGGCAGATGGTCGTTTATGTTCAATACCATTATTGAAAGCTTGGATCTGAGGGAGATTGAGCTTTCTGGTAGAAAGTTTACCTAGGCTAACGCTCTGCCAAATCCGACTTATGAAAAACTTGATCGAGTTCTTGCAAGCGTGGAGTGGGAACAAAAGTTCCCTCTGGCTACGGTGCAAGCTCTCTCGAGGAGAATATCTGATCACACACCCTTGTTTGTGGACTCAGGGGAGCCGAACCACGTGGGTAACAAGAACACCTTTTCTTTCGAGATGTCATGGTTCGAACGCGAGGGGTTCTTGGATTTGATTGCCAGGGAATGGGCTAGAGGTGCAGGAGGCGTGACTGCGATCGAGCGTTGGTAGAATAAGATTAGGCATTTGAGAAGTTTCTTACGGGGATGGGCTAAGCACCTCAGTGGTGTGTATAAGATTGAAAAGGATAGACTCCTTTCTCTTATACAGGCCCTGGACATAAAGGTCGAATCCAGTATCTTACTGCCTGCTGAGCTTCAGGTTAAAAATGAGGCAGAAAAGAGGTTGAAAGAACTGCTCCGCAAAGAAGAATTGAAGTGGGCTTTGCGTGCTAAAGTGCGCAAAGTGGTCCAAGGGGACGCAAATACTCAATTCTTCCATTTGATAGCTAATGGGAAGCACAGAAAGAAGCGCATCTTTCAGCTTGAACAAGATGAGGGCACTATTTTAGGACAAGACAGCCTAAAAACGTATATTACCGAGTATTACAAGCAGTTATTTGGACCCCCGGAGGATAATTGTGTGTCCCTCGATGAGTCTAGGACTGAGGATGTGCCTCAGCTAACGGCTGCCGAAAATGATATTATGGTTGCCCCGTTCTCAAAGAAGGGGGTGTTTGATGCTATTGCACAGATGAAAAACAATAAGGCTCCCGGTCCGGATGGATTCCCGGCCGAGTTCTATAAAAAGTGCTGGCACATTATTAAGGGGGATTTGCTACCTATGTTCCATGACTTGTTCTCTGGACAGCTTCAGTTATTTCACTTGAATTTTGGAACTATCACATTGCTTCCTAAGAAAATGGATGCTGTGAGAATTGAGCAATTCAGGCCGATATGCCTCCTCAATGTTAGTTTCAAAATTTTCACCTAGGTAGGGACTAATAGGCTCACACAGATTGCATATTCTGTGGTGCAATAGTCCCAAACTGCTTTCATGCCGGACAGAAACATCCTTGAAGGGGTGGTTGTCCTGCATGAAACGCTCCATGAAATTCATTCCAAAAAATTAGATGGAGTAATTTTTAAGGTGGATTTCGAGAAAGCGTATGATAAGATCAAATGGCCATTCCTCCAACAGTCATTGCATATGAAAGGTTTTGATGAAGCCTGGCGTCGACAGGTTGAATCATTTACGCAAAAAGGTAGTGTGGAAATTAAAGTTAATGATGACATAGGTCATTACTTCCAGACACATAAAGGCCTAAGACAAGGAGATCCGATGTCCCCTATCCTATTTAACATTGTGGTGGATATGTTAGCAATTTTGATAGGAAGGGCTAAGGAAAATGGTCAAGTAGGTGGATTGATACCTCATCTCGTTGATGGAGGTGTATCCATCCTTCAGTACGCAGATGATACAATTATCTTTATGGAGCATGACTTGGCCAAGGCGAGAAATATGAAGCTTGTGTTATGCCTATTTGAACAATTGACCGGGTTAAAGATTAACTTTCATAAGAGCGAGATGTTCTGTTTTGGTAAAGCTAAAGACGAACAGGAGGCTTATAGGCAATTGTTTAGGTGCGAGTTGGGAGAGTTGCCCTTCTCTTACCTGGGGATTCCAATCCACCATCGTAGGCTGACAAACAAAGAGTGGAAGTGCATCGAGGACCGATTTGAGAAGAAACTGAGTTGTTGGAAGGGTAAGCTCATGTCATACGGAGGCCGACTAATCCTGATTAATTCGGTGCTCACGAGCATGCCTATGTTTCTCCTCTCGTTCTTTGAGGTCTCAGTTGGTGTTAGGAAGAGACTGGACTTCTATCGATCGCGTTTCTTTTGGCAGGGTGATGAGCTTAAACGAAAATATCGGCTTGCTAAATGGGATATCATCTGTAGACCGAAAGACCAAGGGGGTCTCGGTATTGAGAATCTAGAAATTAAGAATAGATGCCTTCTTAGCAAGTGGCTGTGGAAGCTCTCAACGGAGAATGATGCCATGTGGGCTCAAATCGTTCGTGCCAAGTACCTCCAGACAAAAACTTTGTCCCAGGTTACAGTCAGACCAACTGATTCACCCTTCTGGAAAGGTTTGATGAAAGTCAAACAAGCTTTCTTTAATAGGATGAGGTTTGCTATTGGAAACGGCTCTAGTACACGTTTCTGGGAGGATACTTGGCTCGGCGAAACACCTTTGGCTATCCAATATCCATCTTTGTACCGTATTGTTCAACGACGTGAAGTGTTCGTCGCCTCGGTATTTCAATCTATCCCCCTTAATATTCAGTTCCGACGGACGCTAGCAGGCAATCGTTGGGAAGAATGGCTCCGTTTAGTTAGGAGACTGATGGAGATCCAACTATCTCAACAACCCGATGAATTACGCTGGAAATTGACTAGGTCTGGAGCATTCACTGTTAAATCAATGTACATTGATGTTATTAATTCGAACTCCATTCTTACCTCTAAGCATGTTTGGGCTGTCAAAGTTCCTTTGAAAATAAAAGTGTTTATGTGGTTTGTCCATAAACAAGTTATTTTAACAAAGGACAACTTGATAAAGCGTAATTGGACAGGACCTACTAGGTGTAGTTTCTGAGATCGGGATGAGACTATCAAACATCTCTTTTTTGATTGCCCGTTGGCCAAAGTACTTTGGCAGACGGACCACATTGCTTTTAATATCAATTCACCGAATTTTGTTAACGCGCTATTTGGGACATGGCTTAATGGGATTGAGCCTGACTTAGCGAGACACATTCGGGTTGGAGTTTGTGTTTTGCTGTGGACTATCTGGACTTGCAGAAATGATTTGGTTTTTAACAGAATATCATGTATACATTTTTTGCAGATTTTATTCCGCACTACGGCTCTGATCCGTTCATGGTCGCTACTCACCCAGACGGAGGCCAGGGAGCATTTGGTTACTGGGTCTTTTCGATGGGAGATGGTAGCTCGGGATATCTTCAACCGGTTTGGATGGCGGTCATGTAATAGGATAGGCATGTAGTTTACCTATCTAGTTTTAGCCAGCCGGTTGTGGTGTCTGTTCATGGCTAGTGGGTGTTTCTAGCCTTTCTTTGGCTCTGTGTGAGCTTTTTTTCTTTTTTCTTATTACTTTTGGAGACCTTGGAACCATGTTGGCACTGCGTTATTTGGTTAATAAGATGGTTGTATGCATCTTTCTGATGCAGAGGCCGGGGATTTCCCCCTTTTCGAAAAAAAAAACCGTGAGTATTGGACGTCGAACATGATCGGGTCACCGGCAATGTGGAAACCCGTAGATTCGGCCCAGGTGCCGCCAGGGGGGACAAGGCCCGCCTGGTACGTCAGGCTAGCGGTGAGAATAGCGAGAAGCATCATGTACTTGTGCTTTATGTGCTTGTCTGTATATTGTTGTTGTACTAGGTTGGTGTTGTGGGCGTCGGGCATCACCGAAAGCGGCTCAAACAGCTTCCGGAGCGACGCGGGAAGCCGTGGCGCGGTCGGCCGCCCGACGCACCTCGCAAAAAGGAGTGGTAGAAGTTGCAGGGCAACGTAGGCGATGACGGCGGCCACAAGCCCATAGACATAGATGGAGGTGCTCACTCTGTGGGTGCTCCCCACGGTGTAGGCAGTTCTGAGGGCCATAAATCCAATCATGATGCAGGCCTGGAGCACGTTACTCCGTATGCTCTGCTTGTGCAGCCGCCGATTCACCAGGAGGAGGATAACAGCGACAGAGGCCATGAACTCCGCCGCATTGCAGTAGAAGAACACTAGGTACCTTCTCGGGTCGTAGCCAAGGAGGAGTGTATCAGTGAGGTGTTTCTTGAAGTAGAAGGCATAGCCCACCTCCCAGAACCCACCCGCGGAGTTGAGCCCGGTTTGGTACGTGGCAGTGGCTACGAGGATCGCCAGCTGAAGCAAAGACTTGCGCTTCTTCTTGAGGCTGTGCACCTCCTCTCTCTTGGATTGGGCTTGGTCATCATGATCATCGTCTAAGAGGTGCAACTTCTTTAGACCCATGTAGACCGTGGCCTCCACCCAGAGCGACCGCTTGCTGCCGCTGCCCAGTATGATGAACGCCACCACGTTGGCGACAGCCAAGGCGGAGATATAGATGGTGGTGGCGATGTCCCGGCAGCTCCCGGCAGTGTATGCGCCCATGAGGCCAAATAGGCTCAGTACTATGGCCACCTGCAGCACCTGGAGCCTGATGGCGGCTCCCGACATGAGCAGTCGTTTGCTCTGAACGATGACGATCACCACCAGCGATGCCACAAACGCCATCGTGTTGCAGTGGAAGAAGGCACTGTACCTGTTTGGCAACACATCGAGAAGTGACGGATGCCCCGCACGAAAACCCCCGATGTCCTCATCGCGCCAATAGCCGCCCGGCGGATTCAACCCTTCCTGGTACGTCACCGTCGCGATGAGCGTGGCCAGCAGCAGAAGAAGCGACTGTGACTCTACCAGGATGTGTACATCGCTCCCGTCGCCTTCGTTTGGCACTCCAGGATGTACCACCCTATACATATGCATCGTATACTCATATGTCAAAAGCGAGCAGGTGATTGATGTATAGAGAAAATATGATCGACCGAATGAAAAAAGAGAGCAAGGTGCATGCATGTGGGCTTACTCGTGCGGTGATTCCTGCTCCAAGTTGCCACGGCGTGCCAGCAATTTCTTGACTCTGTCCATAGAGAATTTTCCGACGAGGGCAATGATCACGAGCATCAACCCGGCGAGGAAGATGATGTGCACCGTCTGCGCTAAAAACCTGGGGCTCCCAGCAGCGTAGGCGCCCATAAGGCAGAGAAGCTCCGCTAGGACGCAGACCTGCAGCGCGTACGACCGGGCGACACGGCCACTCAGCGACCTGCTCAAGAGCAGGGTAATGATGACGAGGGACGACACGAAGCACGTTGGGTTGCATAAGAAGAAGAAGAAGTAGCGGAGGGGGTAGATGCGCTGCAGCATCGGGTCGCCGGCGACCTGCCCCCGAAAATTGCCCGAGTCGAACCAGGACCCGCCTGGAGGCACCAGACCCGCGCCGTAGGTCAGTGGCGTCACGAAGGTGGCCAGCAGCAGAGGGAGCTTCCACCGTCCTTTAAGGCGGCCCTCCTCCGCGTCCGAATGGCCCGCGTGGCCACTCTTCAGCGGGGAGGCAGCCACGAGGAGGTGGATTGCGACGTACGCCATCAGCACGGCGAACGCCGCCGGGACGTAGACGGACAAGCGCACGTTGCGGCAGCTCCCTGCGGCGAAGGCCCCCATGAGCGCCACCAGGTCGAGCACCATGGCGGACCGGAGCACGGTGAGCCCGACACGGTTGCCGACTATCCGGTGGTCCAGCAGGGCCATGACGATGACAAGTGACGCCAGGAAGGCCGCGGCGTTGCAATAGAGGAAGACATCATACCGGGTGGAATTGGTGCTCGCGAGCACCGGGTCGCCCACGCGGTGGGGTACCTCGTCGTCGACGAACAGTCCGCCCGGAGGGTTGAGCCCGGCGACGTATGTGGCGCTGACGACCAGCGTCGCCAGCAGGAGGAGCTACTTGCGCAGCTTCCACACGAACGTGTACTCTTCTGAGTAGTCCATTACAGACATGAGTAAAAACCGATAGGTCGGCTTCGATCCTTGGTTGGACTATATACGCAGTACCTATGTAGGAGTACATGCTAGCCGAAAGTAAAAAGGCTAACATTTAGCACCAAAGGAATTTGTGCTTGAGTGTGTGTAGAGATATACGTTGCCTGGTCGCAGCTAAGAGAACATGCATTGCTTCCATGTGCGTCCCCGTTCACAACTAAAGTGAACTTTGAACTCAAATTAAGCCTCTCATGACCGGGTGGTATCTAGCTTTTCCAACTGGCCAGGCCACAAAATTATATACACCTTTAAATGAAGTGTGGGACAACAACAAACGGGCAAGAAATTAGAAATTCAATTATATGTTTATTAAGGTATTGAGTGGTTTATGCACATTTACCGTACTGAATCGAGTGAGCAGTCATACGTGTCATTGCTGCATAGTTCGACAGAATCGAACATTAAAAACAAAGTCCTTTTTTTTTAAAGGAGGACAACCTCGATGCATGCAGCCATATTACTAAAAAACGTAACAAAGTCTTACAATCCAAATAGACTCAAAATCCGAGCAAAAGAGGGAAATAAATCTGTAAAGCGCCAAAACAAACTCCAGGCAATAATTCTATTCACTTTTAAGTTCTACAATTACTCTTCGTACACTAAATATAATTGTTAGCAAAGAGAGCCTTAGCTCAATGGTTGGGAATGCGGTTGTGCGGCCTAACGACCCGAGTTCAATTCCTACAACTGATAGGTGACTCACATGGGTTTTCTCCTACTTATTGAGGATCAAACTTGGTGTATGATGGTGAATCCCTCATCAAGAAATATCTTGATACTCATTTAAAAAAATTCTAAGGACCATGTTTATCTTGATACTCATACTAAAATGGATGTATGCATCCCTAATTGATTAGGTGCAGAGGCCGGGAAATGAAAATCTCCCTCATTTTTGAGCTAGCTAGGCAAAAGAAGAAATCGTGTCGCTCCCTCCCCAGGGGGACAAGGGCGGCGGCTCCGACCCCCTCGACCGCGTCCCATCCCTACCCTCCTTCTCTCACCGCCGCTAGTGAGATCCGTCAGGCGAAGCCCGCTCGGATCCGGCGGCGGCAGGGCCTGCTCTTCCCGTTGACTTGCAACGTTCGCAGGTTAGAGAGCTCATGGCGACGTTTTCGGATGGCGTCCGGCGTTTGTACTTCACGTCGGCTGCGGTGTGAAGATGCTGCTAGGCGGCGGCCTGCTGGTGTTTGGTCGGGGCGGGGTGGCGGGGTTCATGCGGGCTTGATCTGGGCCCTATGGGCCTTCTTCTGCTCTCATGGCGCCGTTGTGGTTGGCCGCGTTCGACAGCGTAAGTCCTCTATCGACCGGTGTCGATCATCTGCATGCGGGCTCAATGGGCTCGGATCTGTCCATGTTGGTGGCTTTACTGGTCCTGGTCTGCAATTGACACACCGGCGTGGGGAGGTTGGGGCATGTGAGCGCAGGTGGGCCATGGCTTGAGGCGGCTGCTCGCCGGTGGCTCCGGCTTCTGCGGTGGTGCATTGACAAGGGTGTGGAAGCACTTGGTGTTGTGGTGGTTTGGCCCTAGTGTTCTTCGTCCGCCAAGTCGTCTTTCTGCCGGACTTCGACCTCTTCTATACGGATTGGTGTATGTTGCCCCTTGATCTAGATTAGAAAGGCTCTGACCGCGTGCGCTCATATTATCAGATGGCACGGCTTCAAGAGGGCGCGCCGTGAAGCTTCACTTTCTTACCAGAGTCATGGGACATGTTTAAGTCAATATTTCCAAGGCATTGATAAAGCTAGAGAAAGTCATCGCGACTGCGATTGGAGGTCTTGAAGCGTTGGCGGAAAGGTGTATTGTATGCAATGAAGATTGTGTGCTAGGTGTTTAGTGACTTGCAGCGGCGGCCTCGGCAAGCGGGGGCGCAACTGTTGGGAAACATAGCATGCAATTTCAAAAAAAATCATACGCTCACGCAAGATCTATCCATGGAGATGCATAGCTACAAGAGGGGGCAGCATCTTCATACCCTTAAAGATCGCAAAGCGGAAGCGTTTATCAACGCGGTTGATGTAGTCATACACCTTCACGATCCATCAAGTACCAACGTACGGCACCTCCGCGTTCAGCACATGTTCAGCTCGATGACGTCCTCGCCTTCTTGATCCAGCAAGACGAGTAAAGTAGTAGATGAGTTCCGGCAACACGATGGCGTGGCGACAGTATTGGTGAAGAACAATCTACGCAGGGCTTCACCAAGCACAACGGAAACTATGACGGAGGATAAACTAGAGGGGACGGGGTTGCTGGCACACGGCTTGTCAAATCTTGTTGTGTCTTGGGTGCTAGCCCTGCCCCACTATTTATATATTGAGCCTTGGGGTCAAAACTTGGATTAAAAGCCTCCTCAAAGTCGGTTTTGCCCGAAAGGCAAGAGTCCTACTCGGACTCCAGGGCTAGATGTCAGGGTTCCCGGCGTCTACCCCCTAGACGCCAAGGTTCTTAGCGTCTAGCACCTGGTCACTAGAAGAAAACAGGGCTTTTGTTCAGGCCAGATTAGCCCATTAGTCCCGGTTCAGTCACGAACCAGGACTAATGTGAGCATTGGTCCCGGTTCGTGCGGCTAAAGGCATTAGTCCCGGTTCAAATGAGCCCTTTAGTCCCGATTTGAGACAGGAACCGGGACTAAAGGGTGTGATGCCCTTTAGTCCCGGTTCATATCTCCAACCGGGACTAAAGATTAGACCTTTAGTCCCGGTTTGAGACACGAACCGGGACTAAAGGGTGCAATGCCCTTTAGTCCCAGTTCGTGTCTCAAACCGGTACTAAAGGTCCCATTTTCAAACTCTACCACCCCCACCCCCCACCCCGTGGATTGCCTTTTCAGTTTTGTAAAAAGCAAACTAAAATGATAAAAACATCAAAAAAATCCTTCGAGATGTAGCTATGTTACTACATCTACTAGTTAGGAAAATTACAAAATTTAAATTTGGATATGTTTTGCAAAAAAAGTGTCATGAAAAAGTAAAACTGCTATAACTTTTGCATACGATGTGGAAAAAAACGTATAATATCCCGCATCCGATTTTGACAGCCTATGGCATGTTTGCATGCAAAATTTTAGAATCCTCAAATTCTAAAAGGAAAAAAAGTTATGCTCAAATTTCAGTTTTTTTTGAATTTTGGTTAAATCAGGTCAAACTACTTATTCAAGAAGTATTAGTGTCACTAAATAATTATTCAAGAATATTAGTGTTATTAAATAATTATTACAGTTTTTTAAATTTTGGTCAAATTAGGTCAAACTGTGGTTGAACTACTTATTCAAGAAATATTAGTGTTACTACATAATTATTCAAAAATATTAGTGTTACTAAATAATTATTTCAATTTTTTGTATTTTGGTCAAATCTGGTCAAACTAGGTCAAACTACATATTTAAGAAATATTAGTGTTACTAAATAATTATTGTTTTTTAGAATAATAGTTTCAAACTCAAATAGTGAAACGTGTGACTTCATGCTCAAGCTAAACTCCTGAGGGTTAATAGGATTGACATCTTACTATTGTTCGGAAAACAACAAGTGCAGACTTGAAAACGAGGGGGAATAGAACCCGGAAGTTAAGCGTGCTTAGGCTGGAGTAGTGAGAGGATGGGTGACCGGTCAGGAAGTTAGATGATTTGGAATGATAAGGGGTGATTAGTGATTAGAGGTTAAATTGGGCAGTGATGAGGGGTGATTAGAGATTAAATTGGAAAATAATTCAGAAATTTGAAAATCGAAAAAAAAAATAAAAAAATTCAATAAATCGTAAAAATACCTTTAGTCCCGGTTGGTAACAGGTGTAGCTCCAGACAGCGGCCACGTGGACGGCCTTTAGTCCCGGTTCGTGTAAGAACCGGGACTAAAGGGGGAGGCTTTAGTAACGACCCTTTAGTCCCGGTTCCAGAACTGGGACTAAAGGCCCTCTAGAACCGGGACAAATGGCCCTTTTTCTACTAGTGGGTCTCCGCAAAACTCCATTTTGCACTTTCCAAAAGCCTTGTGGGCTTTCCCCTTTGGCCCAAATAAAGTGTTCTCGTACCCAAACATTTCGGGAAACATCCGGAACCCCTTCCAGTGAATTCCGGAACCCTTCCGGAGATCAAATACTATTATTCCATGTATTAATATTTACCTTCAGACCATTTTGGAGCTCCTCATCATGTTCGTGATCATATCTGAGACTCCGAACAACATTCGGTCACCAACAAACGTAACTCGTAAAATACTATATCGCCAACGAACGTTAAGCGTGCAGACCCTACGAGTTCGAGAACTATGTAGACATGACCGAGACACCTCTCTGCTCAATAACCAATAGCGAAACCTGAATGCCCATATTGTCTCCTACATATTCTATGAAGATCTTTATCGGTCGAACCTTATGACAACATACGTAATTCCCTTTGTCCATCGGTATGTTACTGATAATCCCCAAGTGCAAGGAATCATCGTAGCAATTTCCAAAGGTGGAAGTGATAAGTATGGAGTGTCGAACCCACAAGGAGCTAAAGGTAAGATCAATATTCTCTCAAGCCCTATCTGCCACTGATACGACTCTACGTACACCAAACGTTTGCTTCCAACTAGCAACGAGAAATAAAACTAGGTTTTGGGTATGAAGAGGATAACTTTGTATGATATCGGAGAGCTAAAATATAAAAGTAGGTGTTGTTATCATGAAGTTAGAATATATTACTAAATGTTATAAATAGCGAGTG